CCCCCCCCCTTCACCTCTACATTACAAAATTACTATGTGAAATGAACGTGTCACATCAACTACACTGAAAATATCCATTAACAAAACACAGGGTTCAGAAATTCGGCGCAGGCAACCCATTCACGGTGTTCTGGCATCACCCCAGCATAGTGGTGTGTTTTGAACTTGAGCTAGCCGCTGTGCGTGTTGTTTTCCCTGCTGCTGTCAGTCACCAATGACCTGCATCCTTAAAACCATCACCTTAACTAAAGAGGGATTAGAAGTCGCTTCCTGAACACTTCTGCTCTAGAAGGTCATAGTACAGCATAATGATCCACTAGTATGTGAGCATCTAAGGTCTGATTATCAGCATATTACATTTTATTATAAAGTCATTCAAGCAAAAGTTATTTGGCTTGAAAAATATCTCCTGATTTTAAATATGAAGTTGTCAGCATGACCTTTTAATTGTGCTCCATGGCAACAATGAACGACCGGCATTTCATTTTAACCATTAATTAAAGCAGCCAAATTGTAATAAACAAAATATTAGCCAGGCCTTTGCTTTATTATTCCAAGAATGATTTTTTGGGGAAAAAAAAATAATAATAATAATAATAAACAACAGATTCAACATGAGAGAAACTCACTGCCTCGTCCTGAAAGCCCCTGGGCTGTAAGCAGAAGGACATTAACTTACCGGTACTCTATTCAAGAAAACAAAGAATGATTTGTTAAAATCTTTGTTGCTTTCAACCCATCAGTACGAAATTTGCACCCTCATAACTGTAGTTAGGTTTAATCAGAAATCTTCAGTTTAAAGGTTTACTACTCTTTAAACTTGCTAATGAGAGGATGCTGAAAGGATCATTCTGTCTTACCACAACTTCATCGGTTTCAGCCAATTCCATCTCTAGATCCATTGAACAAACCGGTCCACGCACGTTCTGCTGACCAGCCACGATCATCCCATCAACTCCAGTGGATTTCTGTTGTCTAATAAAGCTAATAGTATCCTCTCCCACGGAGGTGAGACGAGCGTAACCAACCTAGGCTCTGCCCAAAGCCACAATCATTCACTCCACTATGATCCGATTTTCTCCAGCTTTTTTCCTTCCCTTCTTCACACTTTCTTTCTCCTACAGACTATTGACATCAGCAGGGAAGATAAACCGTCTGAGCAGCGATGGCCAAATCCCTCTTAGCTTCTCACTCTGTGAGGTCAGAGCAGCCCAGAATGGGACCTAATCTGACTCCATGCAGAGGGCTGTGGCTAAAATTAACCCATGTTAAAAAACAATGCTGGCTGTCTATGGCAGACCAGAAAGCAGTGTGCCTGCCATAGACAGCCTGTGTGTGTGTGTGTGTGTGTGTGTGTGTGTGTGTGTGTGTGTGTGTGTGTCAGTGATGGTGGAGAAAGAAATTCTCAAACAAGACTGTGGTATATTGTCCTTTATCCAAGCTGCATTTCTGGTTTTCCACCTCTCTTCACAGTTACTTCCTTTCCAAGGATTGAACCCCTGTTTCACATTAAAAGCTATTTCTAGGACCATCACCATGTACCTGAATTGATCATTACACAAGGTACATCAGGAGCTAACCACATGTACCTGGACCAAACCCTGAATCGAGTCAATGGCATATGACTGACAGATTAATATTAAGGAAAACGCATCACGCTTGGTAAGATGAGGGCTTTCCATCAGCTTATTCCTTCCCTTCCCCCATCCTGGCCTCTCTTCTATAAGTAGTCTTTAAAGGAAACTATAGTTTGCACATATCCTGGTCGACTCGTAGGTAAAATGGAGGTCACAGCTGGGAGGGGGGTGGGGGAGTCCTCTTCTTAAGTTGGCTGCTCTGCAAAACTTGTTTGCACTGTAGCTGCATCTGCCCAATGTGGAATGACGATAGCAGGAGGACACCAGAAGAGGCCTATTTTACTGTTCAACAATGCAAGGAAATCCATGAAAGGCCAATCAGATAAGGCAGAAATTAATCAGCTAGAAGACCCCGCGGGGCCTGTGTTTTAATTTTGAGATCAAATAAAAGAAAAAGACCAAGCTCTCCTCTCACTGCAATACCTCACTGACTTGCTCCTTTACCTCTAACTGCTCTTATCATCTTTTGACGCTAGAACGTATCACCCCGTAAGGGGGAGTGACATCATACCGGGAACTCGAGACTTACTAAGTTCAAAGACGAGCAGAGCAGAAATTGTAAGCAAATGTCTCCACTCACGCTACAATACATACAGTTCATGATGAATGGAGGGAACTTGCCAGTGTGGCTCTGCTGGCTGCACTGTGAAACATCCAAGGCTTCACAACAAATGTAAACAGTACCGAAAACCTTGTGGATACATATTTTAGTTGATGTTACAAAAACAGTCCTGCTGGGAACCACTTAATGCGTGTCTAAGGAAAAGCACACAAAAAAGGTGCCATATTCTTAAATGAGTAGGGCAAGGGTTACCTACAAATGTTGACCTTTGTTAATGAGCTCCTTTAGAGCTCCGGGACATGAAAGGCAACTGAGGTAAAAGCAAACATTTGGTCTGAACCTCAGGTAGAAGTAGAAGTCTAACAACAAGAGCTCCACTCACACAAAAGGACAATGCAAAGTTTGAGCCCGCTATCGAAGTCTGTGCTAAAAAAGCCAAGCCCTTGCCATTTCTGTGCGAGGCCTAATCGCAGCCTACAACCCGACACCCGGTCTATCTTACCCCCACAGCTGGCTGCAGAGCACTGGCCACAGCCCTGTACTCTGTGCTGCCGCCAAAAATAGCAACACAAGCTAATAAAGATAGCTCTTACAAGTGCAACCTTCACGCAAGCAGTCTACATATCCCACAGCAAGTCAAACAGCAGGGAACGCCTCACATGTCACGTCACAGCAGCTAAAGGTAATTTCTGAGCTCCTCAGGCAGTAGGTGTCCAAAAAACCTGAATGAGGGGTAAACCACTTTCCTGCACCTGTCACCCTGCTGAGTTCGACTCCAATTTCCAGAAGCAGGTGTTTAAATTTAGCAGAATCCCAAAGATAAAATTAAAAACTACATGTGGCTTTTAACAGGATAAAGACCCCAGCACCAGAGACACCAACATGTCCTACTGTTTATTCATACACACAAATTTGACACTGCCTTCCTGTTACATTATGCCGACTGTTGTTTTTATCATTCATCATCACCCACACACGACCATAAATGTGCAGTGTCAGATTTCACTCCAGATTATATTGCTAACCTTTGAGAAAGTAAAAGTAAATCTTTTCATAATTTAACCGGTGTAACGGTTCTGAAACAGAGACCGAAATTATTATCCAAATGTCCACGATTCTCTTACTGTGATGGAGTTGTTAAAAGTCTGGTTGAAGTATTAATACATCATCTAGTTTTAGTCATTACGGTGAAGGTTTTGCTTTTTGTTATTCGTTAGCTCTAAAGAAAAACAAAAGGTACAAACCAAATTACGGTTACACTCTTTTAATTACACAAATCAACCAGTCCTCAAAGTAAGATTAGTCTGTGAGCTTAATCTAACTTACATACATGTCTGTCCTTACACATGTACAGCATTCAAACATGGCTGCTCCCAGGCAATATAATGTTTAAATATAATAAGTATAAACAAGTATAGATTCTGTGTTGTATAATCTACCTAGATCATGTGGCATGTATCATTTAAGATGCACAAATTAAACACCTCATCGGTCTGAGTCATCCATACATGATAAATACAGCATTAGGTTCCCGCACCCGTGGAGGTGAGGCAGCTTTCAAGTTGAACACGAGTTTTGGAGGTCACGCATAAAGTAGTGCCATCGGACAACGAGCTGTATGGATGAGCTGTCGCACAACTCAACAGTGTTTCTGATATAAAGATGCACTTGGAGGAGGAGGGGGGAGTGACGTCACTCGAGTGAAACTGTATTAATCAGTGAGTCATAACTGTTCACACCGAACAAAAAAAGGAGAGCGTAACACTGACTTCCAGCCTCTCTTTTAAAAACAGAAACTAGCATTACTGTTGCAGTTGGCACTAAGCTGGCTGCTGTGGTGTCGCTGGTTATACGTTCAACCAGTTTATAACGAGCTTGGAAAAGAAAACTCAAAGCATTTTCTTTACAAAGAAGTGGTAGTGACTTTCTTTTTTGTCTAGTTTTACCACATTTTCTGCACACTGCCAGTATCTAAACACACGGCGGCAACTTTTATTTTCCCAAAAAAGTAACGCAGGTTAACTTAGACCTGTACGTTTGCTTTAAACAGCCACTATTTAAGAGCTTTTACGGTTACGCAAACGCTAAACCTCGTTTACTACAACAGGATCCTTTACATTAAATAACACGGCGGTTTTCGCACAAAATTCCCGGTTTGAAAGTTAGTTTGGACAATTGTGTGCCAGGCCTCAATCCATGGATAATTCCCAGGCAGCCTTCTGGGACCTAGCAGAGGCCCTGCAGTCCTCTAACACACGACTAACTCACAGCAAGCCTCGTTTTAAAGCGTTTTAATTGTTAGCTAACTTCTAACTGCACCTCTGGAGCAAGTTTGCGCACTTTTCGCAACAGTTGTCAACTTTTCCTACCTGCACGGAGTCGGCGGCCATCTTGGTTTTCGCCTTTGAATCAAATCCTACAGGGAGAGCGGAGGGAGGGGTGGTGGGACTCCAAAAGCAAACCTTGTTTTAAGTTTGCCTCTCTGGCGACAAAAAAACTTCACTATTTTGACCAAACCATCGGTCATCTCGGGTACACGGAGTTTCCCATGCCGTCTTCACACTTCTCTGACGCGCTCGCACCGTCCTAGCGGAGTCCAGGAGGGTGGACTGGCGCTCATAAATAAAAAGCTGAAGCATAAATCTGTCCCAGTGCAGCTGGAGAAAGAGGCGGTGGTTATAATAGAAGAGTCCGCCCAGAGGAGCTGCAACACTGCCGGGACAGCTACTACACACATGTGATCAGAAACTTCGTAAAGGCTGGCCTCACCTCAGGCTAACATCCCCAAATCTTCCCCAAACACAAATAAAGAAATTAAATCAAGGCTTACATATGTGAAGCAGCCGTATTAGACATTAAAGGTGGAGGAGTAACACCAGTCAATTTAAATAAAATGCTTTTACAAGTAAAAGTCCTGCAACTATTTATATTTATTCAAAGTTGAGAAGGTAAGTGAAAGTACAATTTAAAAAAAGATAACATTTAAAATTTAACCCTAACCTCACTGGCCACTCTTATAGGTACAACTGTTCAACTGCTTTTAATCTAATCAGATAATCATATTTAGGCATGTAGATGAAGTCATCACAGCCTGTTTAAACCCAGTATCAGAGTGGGCAACAAAGGTGATGTGCGTGACTTTGAAACATGCAAATCTGCTGATCTGCGGGGATTTTCCCACACAACCATATACAAAATGGTCTTAAAAATAGAAAATATACAGTGACGGTCAGTTCTTTGGCTGAAAATCCCTTTTTGATGACAAATAATCACTCATTACAACCAAGGTATGCAGAAGAGTATCTCTGAATGCACAACACATCCAATGTTGAAGCCCAAGGCAACAAAAGATCACACCAGATGGGACTCCTGTCAGCTAAGTTCATAACACTGAGGCTACAGGTCACGCGAGCTCATCAAAACTGGTCAGTAGAAGACTGGAAAAACATTCCCTGATCTGATGAGTCTTGATTTGTGCTGCGATATTCGGATGATAGCGTCACAATATGGTGTAAACTGCATGAAAGCATGGATCCATCGTGCCTTATACCACTGGCTTAGGCTGCTTGTGGTGATATAACAGTGTGGTAGATATCTTTTTGCATAGCAGCTGATCGTTTAAACATCACAGCCTACCTGAGTATTGTTGCTAACCATGTCCAAGGATAAAAATAGCACAAAACATATGTCAAATGTTAACAATCGTATTTTATTTAAAAGAAAATGATATGCTCATTTTTAATTTGATGCCATGTTTTTCACAAAGTTGGTACAGGGGCTCCTTTCCCACTGTGCTTCCACTTCTTTTAAACATTACTCTGTTGCTGTGGTTTTGAAGTGAGATCAGTGGCTCATATGTCGCACCTCAGTGAGAAGAGTTACTGCAGCATTACATAACCCACAAAGGCACACTCTTCATCACCAGCCATATGTCCCAGAGACCGGACTTACTTTTTTTCTCTGTACTTAGTTGTTTTGTTGGTCATAAA